GGTGTTATACTAAGGAAACTCTCAGGTTGTTTTTTTTTTTGCACTAGAGAATAGGATTTGTATTAATAAAAATGGCTTGAAATATATATTTAATCATAACTTCTTTAATTTCAGGTTTTGAGCTTCATTATTAATAGGCCAATTAATGAAGCAGCTTCACTTATCCTTTTCCCAGTTTTCTGGGGTAATGAGCCTTAAACATCACTATTCGGGGAAATTTGTCTATCCAAAACATCTTTGGGATCTTCAAGTTGGTGGCTATAAAAATAAAATTGCTGTGAAGTATTTTTAAATTATAGGTAATAATTGCTTTCACTTTACAAAAGCCTTCCTGAATAACAATTGTTTTAGAAGAATATTTAGTCTTCAAATAGAACATATTAACACCCTGTAATTCTCAGCTGACAAACCCAAACCTATCGTATTTTTCAGAGTATAAGACGCACTGGAGTATAAGACGCACCAAGGTTTTGAAGAGGCAATTTTTTTAAAAAAAATTGCATTCTGCAAACGTTGCAAAAACGGTCTGTTTTTCGTGAAAATGGGCCTGTTTTTTTTAAGCCTTCTTAGGAGGCTTGTAGTGTGTTCCTGGTGGGGGGGAATGAACAAAAAATGACCCATTTTTCGCAAAAACGGGCACATTTTTTGTCAATAAAAGAGCATTAGGAAGCTTATAGAGTGCTTCTGGGGGCTGGGCAAAATTGAGCAAAAAACACTCATTTCTGCCCTCCCCAGCCCCCAGGAGCTCTCTGAAAGCCGCTTAAAGGCTATGCATGGCCATTTTGATGAAGGGACAGGGTTTCAGGAGGGAAAAAAATGCTGTATAAGTGTATAAGATGCACCCAGATTTTCAGCGTCTTTTTTGAGGGAAAAAGGTGCATCTTATACTCCGAAAAATACGGTATGTATTTAAATTTGTTCTGGCCCCTCCAGAAATTTATGAACATATTTATAATTACTGTTTAGATTAGTTGCTATGAATCAATTTTGAGTCAATATTGCTCACTTTCTTATATACAGCATAACCAAGAATAGATTAACAGTTTAAACTTTTAGTTTAATAAAGTATATGGCTGTCTCACATACTTGATAAGAGTCAAGCAATTTCAGAGCAAATGCTGGCTGCTCTTGCTACAATGCTTGAAAATCTATTTCCTTGAATTTAACAGATTCATACAGTGCCATCTACTGGATATAACAGGTTATAAAGATTTTATTTAATTTTCTAACAACTATAAAACTTGTTCTTGCAAACAGATCCTCATTTCTACCATCATTTTTTAGAGAGAGAAACTAGTCAATCACTTTGAACTTCCTTCTGGGTGCCAATAAAAATTCAGATTAGTGTCATTTAAGTCCTGAGTAACAATTGGCAGGAAATTGAAGTGTCATCAGAAGTTAATCACATTTCATTATTGGGTTCCATTTGAACTAGTGGCCTAAAGGAGAAAAATTAAATTCCCTCCATTTACTGATTGTTCTAGTCTATGAACAGAATTTAAACAAAGTTGTCATGCATTATTGTAACAGTAGTTAGCATCCTTGGCTGATCCTCAAAAGTTAAATAGACTATACAAACCAAAAGAAGTTGAATTAAAAGTAAAACATCAAATTTTATAAGAAACTAACAGATAGCAATTCTGACAAACTATTGGTAGAAACTCTGCTGTATTCTTTAACATCTGCCATTTCACTTCATTGGTGGGAAGTTGTGAGAAAAGGTTGTGTTGCTATTATTTGTGAAATGGAAGCCTAGAATGAATACTGATCAGTGCACTTTACACAATGTGAAATTATTTGGATTTGTTTTTTCACTTCTAAAGGAGTCCCTCAGGATGAAATTCATTGCCAAATGTTGGTTGCTGATAGTTCTGATTGTTGCTATGAGTACTGTGCATCACTGGGCCAAGAAATGTAGACAGTTAACTGGGAAGTGCTGATTTGGGTCGTCAAGGATGGATGACAAACCTATTAACAGCAACCAACATGTTTCACATCAGAAATGTTGAACCAATTGAAGACAAGCAGCTGATCACTCAAAAGAAAATTGCTTTTAAGCTTCGCATTTACAGAAGCATGCAGGACACGATTGGTTTTCAATATTGGAAAGCTTGAGCAAGATGGGTTTCCTGTATATGCTGACCATATAGAGATAAAAGATTCAAGAGTTCAACTTTGCCAGCAATTCTTAACACATTATCAAAATGAAAGTGAGGAATTTATTAACAGCATTGTGATGAAGACAATATTTGGCATCATTATGAGCAAACATCAATCCATGGAATATTATTATAAAGTTTCATTTATAAAAAAAGAAGACCATAAAAGCTCATTGTTGTAGGGTTTTTTTAAAAAAAAAATCAGATAGTACCATGGATTTATTTGACTCTGGCATCGTTAGCAATTCAACACTCTGAATTTTGAAACATTTTGAAGAAAGAAGGAAATTTTGCTGCAACATGACAATGCTACATTATCACATTCCACAACTATCTATGAGGCCATTGTGAAGTTGGATCTCACCATCTTACCACATGCACCATACAGTCCAGATATGGCATGGTACAACTTCTACCTTTCCTCAAATTGAAGAAATGTTTTTGTGAAGGTCTGTTTGACTCAAATAAAAAGGTGGAAAGGATTGTCATGATCTGGTTGAAGAGATTATGCATGAACTTCTTTATTAATGCCTTTCAGAAATCCTTGCATCAATACCAGAAATGTGTAGTGAATGGTAGTGTTTACACAACGTATGTGCAGGTATCAAAAGAGCTATATAAGTAATTCTTTTCTTGTTTCATATTTTAAAGCATCTCTACTTAAAGTTATGGAAGTGGTGGCACTTTTTTTCGACTCTATCTCTTATGTATTTTTAAATAACAAATGGGTCTTGCTACTGACTGCTCATTTTTAATTGCATCCCTCAAAATGCCACTCTTGCCCAGAGACAAGGAATACTCTTGATTTAAATGGAAGTCCTGATAATTTCTGGTTATTTAAATAGAGCAATATTATTTGTTTTGGGATATAAGAACACATCCCAGCAGGTACCTAAAAGTATTGAAATTATAAGATTGTACATTACAGGTAGTCCTTGACTTACAACAGTGCTTCTATCTACCCTATCTACCCTTTAAAGTCACAATGGCATTGGAAAAAATGACTTACAACCGTTTTTTCACATTTACAACCACTGCGGCACCCCTCCCCCCATCATGTGATCAAAATTAAGGTACTTGGCAACTAACTCATACTTATGACAGTTGCAATGTCCCAGGGTCACGTGAGCACTTTTCTGACCTTCTGATAAGCAAAGTCAATGGGAAGGCCAGATTCATTTAACAACAGTGGCAAGAATGGTCATAAAATGGGCAAAATTCACTTAACAAATGTTTTGCTTAGCAACAAAAATTTGAGGCTCAATTGCGGTCTTAAGTCAAGGACTACCTATATTGTATAACTGGGGCTTCTTAAAATTTGCATTCCTTGTTTTTATATTTTTTTATCTATTGTTTTGTGCTGCTCAGAGTTGCCTCAGTAAGACAGGCAGCTCTATAAATTCGATTAATAAAATTTTATTAATTAAATGTCAGAATGTGGAAAATATCACCATGTAGTCAAAAAAGTGAAACTATGCCAATCATATACTATATTCAACAGCTTCAGGTCCTCCCTGCTCTATGTTTGGAGGGTTTTTAGAAGAGTTTTATAAAACATTCTTTAGTTCTATTTATATAGCTAACTCTAAGTGTAAATCCTAGTTTCTGAAATAGGTTCTATACAGAAATGGAGCCATTCCATAATGTAATAAAAGTCAATTACATTTCACATTACATTTAGTTTTTCAAAATTAGTAGTAAACACACCAATATTATCTAAGAAAATCTGAAACCTCTCCTTTAAAATCTGAACACTTTATACTCCAATAGTAAGCTTATTTGTAATTCCAGTTAAATTGGCTAGACCTCACCCCCACCTGTACATTTGTATAGAATTATGATGCTACAAAATATCCCTGTGCCACTCTGCTCAAAAATACACTGTGCTGAATTCTTCAAGGACCTCTCTTTATAGGAGCCTGGGGAGGGGAAAACAGCTTCCCCACCACCACCCCGGAAGCTCTCTGGAGGATTCAGGAAACTTCAGGCGGCTTCCCTGAAGCCTCCAGAGGACTAAAAAGGACCCTACGAGCAAACCGGAAGTCACTTCCGGTTTGCTCGTAGGGTCATTTTTAGTCCTCCAGAGGCTTCAGGGAAGCATCCTGAAGATCACCGAAGCCTCTGGAGGGCTTAAACCAACCCTATGAGCAAACCAGAAGTCCGTTCTCGAACTTCCGGTTTGCCCATAGGGCTGGTTTTTTGCGTTCCAGAGGCTTCAGTGAAGCTCCTGAAGCCTCCGGAGGGCCTCGGGGGCGGGGGGAGGCACTTTTCACCCTCCCCAGGCTCCTATAAAGCCTCTGGAGTCTGGGGAGGGTGAAAAATGGCTTTAAAAAAGGCTGAACTCAGCTGGCAAGCGTGCACATGCCCTGACAAATGGCTCCGCGTGCCACCTGTGCACCTGCACACTTGCCATAGGTTCGCCATTCCAGCTATATACATTACACAAAACTTCCCCCTGAAAATCAGGGTCATTCCAAAGCTATTTATTTATGATTAATATTTCAATGCCTAATATGTTGACTTTGGCTTTATTAGTATTAGATATTAAATTAAATATAACATATTTTAAAAGATATTTAAGAATGAAAAATTAGAACAAAATAAGTATATTTCTACCAGATACATTTGAAATTGTTGCAATAGGCTCAAAAATGAAGTATTTAGTTCTGTTGAGAATAATCCAACAATCAGTTGGAACGAAGTTTCACTGAAATGAATGAACAAGAATCTTGTAGCACATTAAAGATTTACTAGTGAACAAACATATAAAGACTGACTGATTCATGATATCTTACTTTATAAAAGGATTCTTTTTTTAAGACCTTGAAAACTCAGCTGTTGTTTTTTTTTGCTACACCCGATTAAACATTTGCTTTTCTGTAAAGCTAAAACAACTAAATTTTAAAGCATTTGATAGAAATTTGGTTGCCATTGGAAGGTATCTAGGTTTAATTATAGCATAATTATAGTCCCGTTTGTATAAAGATAATTGGAACTTTATTAAATGAGCCTGAACATCTGAAAGAAGAAAATAATACTCTTTAGGACTGATGACATAAACCATTAAGTTCTCCCCATGCCTTTAATTTCTTAACATTTACCAGAGTCTACCACGTTAATCCTTTTGGTGCTTTAGACTTATTTTTTCCTTTGACACGTTTTGACTTCAGCTTTTTTCTCTGCCTGGGATTCATCCATACTGGATATTGTCCATGTTGATCTAGAAGAGTTTTCTGATTTCTTTTAACATCCATGTCCATCTTGCTTCCATCTAGGAAAAAACCCCACAAAGAAGTAAATTGCTATTATCACTTGAAAATAGGAGACTTAAAGTGAATAAAAAAAGAAACTGTAGGAATAAAGCATAAATTATTCTAAAACTGATAGAGTGAAGAACTAAGAAATGAGGCACTATGAGCATATGTATGCTTGCACTATGATGGTTTTTAAAAACAGTTTCAAATTTGTTAGTTAGGATAGTCCTTCTTTGAAAAAAAATATTTATTTATTCAGAAACTGCCAAGTGAAAACATCATTCTGATTATAATTTACAATGTTTCCCTCTTTGCTTTCCACTATCTATCTTCAAAAGAATAGGTACCAGTCCCACAGGTCATCCTCATAAACTCCTTCTACCTTATTCTTATTAACAGCATTGTTCTTCAACTCTCAGAATTTCCAGTTAGCCAAACTTTTTCTAGATATTCAATGGATAAATAAGATAGATGCATAACATAACCTATTTCTGCTGTATTAACTCACAGAAGCAATCTCATCTATATGGTGGTATTAGATGGTTTTTTAAAGGGAAGATTTACATAGCCAAGGGAAATATGAGAAAAAGCAGCACCAAAAGAATAAAACAGAGCAGTATCAGGTGACGGATGTACAGTACCATGATTCCAATTTTTCAGAACCTGTTTGTTGCAAATCTTAGAACTATGTCCCTCAGTCTAAGCAACTTCAAGACCCGTGCATTAACTCCCAGAACTCTCAGCAATGTCTATACTGGATAGAGAATTCTCAAATTAGAGACAACGCATCTGCAAGTTGCCCAGATTGGGAAACTCTGCTTTGGAGCCATACTTAAGAATAATATGACTCACCATCTGAATCCTTTTTCTCTAAGATCTTCTCAGCAGGAACCATAGTTACTACTTCCTTCACTTCATCCATTACAACATCACTGTTGGCTTTCAGAATGCTCTGCAACCTGGCCAGTTCCTTGGGAGCATTTTTCTTTCTCTTCTCTGCTCGCATTTTTCTTTTCCATTTGCTCCTTAGGCTTTTTGCCATTTCTGTTTGCTTCTATAAATGGAAAAAATAATGCATAATACTAGTATGACAAAAACAGAACAAATTACTGGGTTTGTGTAAACATAAAACTTGCGGCTCCCCAAAAAGCCAACTACGATGACAGTATCTCCTATATTTGTGCTAAAATGTATTTCTTCAGAAACGCTCCTCAAAAGCAATTCCCATCCTTGTTTTAAGAGAGATTTGGGCTCAAGATTGTGAACAAATTTGAAGCAACGGCTCCTTAGTTCCAAATAACATTTCCCTGCTTTTCAAAGTTACCCAGAATCCTAGCAATACAAAACCTTGTATTTCCTGAAATATTCCTGAATTTCCCCCATAGTAGAGGAAATCTATAGGAAGCCTTCCAATGAGCCACCAATGCTCTTTGGTTCTTCTAAACTGTGGCAGTTCTGAGCAGTCTACTTAAAACCCCGAGTTTTAAAGCTCAGTCTGAAAAGGTTAAATACAGGAGGGTTTCCTGGGGGTCCCACATACAAGGACTCCTGCTGTCTTTATCAAGATGAGCCATGGCTACCAAGCAAGTCTTATTCTTCTGGGCCAAGAAGGATCTAATTAGTCCCAGGGCTGTGGATTAGCCTAAAGCAGTGGTCTCCAACCTTGGCAACTTTAAGACTTGTGGACTTCAACTCCCAGAGTTCCTCAGCCAGCTTTGCTGAGTTGAAGGGAGTTGAAGTCCACAGGTCTTGCCAAGGTTGGAGACCCCAAGCGGAGCAACCTCTGCTGTGCTGTTGGCCAAGATCACCGACTGGACTCATTCAGAAAACGACCAGAAGCTGAGATAAACTCGGGAGCCTCATGGTAGGACCTGGGAAGCCTGGCCTCAAAATATAGCGGCTCCTCTACAAATTACTGGCCGAACCTTCCCCGGGTACCTGGGCACGCGGCGCTGGGTGACTCTCGACGCCCCACTTCCGCCGGACGCGACTGTAACGAGCGCCTGCGCACTGCGCTTCTTCCGGAATTGAAAAGCTTCGGCTTCCGCGTAGAGCGGATTAAGACGGGCAGTCTAGGCAGGCACGAGGCTTTCGAAGACGCGTCTTCTCGAGCTGACCCACAGTGACTCCTTGCGAGGTCCCCCGGTACTGCTACGGTCAGCGGGTGACGAATTGGAGGGGGTTCTCCGGGGCTTGGTAGGGCTGTTACAACGGGCATCTTTTCCTCGAGCAATATTCCCTTCCTACTTTAGCAGCGAATAACCAGGGAGGTTGCTCAATTTATCTCGAGAGCAAAAAGAAGTAATGCTTCCAACCAGAGGCCAGAATGGGTGAGACGCGGAGAAAAGAGGGGGTCCCCAAGTCACTTACATCCCTCTCCCGTAAATGTTTGAAAAATAGTGATGACTATGCTCAACTTCTGGGCAAAAGCTCAGAAGTTATGCTAGCGCCTTAAGTCTTAGATTCTGATGGTACATTTGGAAAATAATCTGCATTTATGGTATTTAATAGTTTATGGCAGGGGTTTTCAACCTTGGCCACTTGAAGACTTGTGGACTTCAATTCCCAGAATTCCTTATGAGTAATTCTGGGAGTTGAAGTCCACAAGTCTTCAAATGGCCAAGGTTGAAGACCCCTGGTTTATGGCATTTGTAATTCACAGCTATAAATGAATGGGTAAAGTTTGTACAGTATTTTATAGATTTCCCTGATGCTTAAGTTGTCCTTAACAGCTCACAGAATTAAAGCAAACCTTAAAACAGTATTTTGCAACACAAACAAAACAAGGTAGATAGAACAATAAAAACACACTGAATTGTCTAAATAATAAAAAGCCTAAATTGGGGGAGAGGGAATCCACAATATGGAGAAAGACAAAAGTAATTTTACATGGCAAGTAGAAAAAGGTAGAACCTGCAAGAGTCTTTACCAATGATCTAAGCGTGCAGGGCAGACTAAATAGGAGTTTGTAAGGTCCTGAATGCAAGCATCTTGAATGGAGCTCAGAAGACAACCAATAAATTCACAAAATGTTTTTTGCCATTACTGGATGAGATATAATTTGTGAACATCTTTGAGGGCTATTACAAACCAATAATTAAAGTTATAAAACCAGATCTTTCTCTTCAAGGTAAGAATGCAACTGTTGATTCAACTCATTGTCACTAAAGTAGCATGACCGACCAGATAAATACAATTGTAACTTGAACCTATAGGTTTTCTGGAAGCTAAGATAACTTAAATAAACCCAAGGATGTCATAATAATTTTTTGGGGAAGCTAAACTAACAGGTAAATATTTACCTGTTATGTCAAATATATGTCACAATTTTTGGGGGAGCTAAGCTAATGTAAGCAAGTTCTATTTTATTACAATAATTATCTGTAACTTTAAAGCCTTTTGCACATAAAGTGTTGTGAACTGGGACTTTATAATTAAAGGTTGAACTCTGAATACAGATTTTGAATAAATACTTGAAACAACTTTTAACATTGGAATTACTTTTAATAATAGGCTGAAATTATAAAAATAAAATGGGGTGACACTGACAAGAAAAGCATCAGTCAGCAGAGATCTCTGAGACTGCTCTCTTATATAATAGTTTTCTGCTTAACAGTGACAAAACTACAAGTCTTAACAATAGAAGGCAAAGAAACAGAGAAAAGGGATCACATAATGAACATTTTATTAAAATTATTTATTTTTATAACTTTCTAATCACCTGCCAGAATAGCAGATGCAATCTAACTAACTTTGCTATTACTTCAGTTGAAGGGCCATTAATAAATATTCTTCTGCATAAAAATATTTCATCTCTTACAACCATTAGTGAAAAGGTCCTAAGAATGGACTCAAATAAGTTTCAAACTCTTTCCACATTCTAAAAAGGTGTGAAAACATGATATGGTATTTCTGAACTTTCTAAAATTTCAGAATAGAGAAAGACTACTGCCTGCCAATTGTTTTTATGTTTACTTTCACATATAATCCATCTAGGAATCCTTCCCATAAAAGATTATTTTTTCCTATATAAGGTTGTTTCCCAAATAAAAATACTTGGAAGTACATATATTTATTAGAAAAAGCAAAATGATATAGGATGAGTTCAAATAAAAATGCTCATCAAGTTTTTTTGTAAAAGAAGACAATAGAATTTTAGCTTATTTAAAGTTTCAGTGTTCAATAGTGAAATCAAGGAGACTTATGTTATTCAACCAGCAACAACTGTAACTCTCAAAGGACACATCTGTGGCAATTACTGCAGGAATAAAATAGAATTTTAATGGTACTTATTGGCACAAATGAGTTGATGAGCAAGTCTTTCAATCAATACTAATAATATGCAAATAGATGGAGTAAGCCTTTGCCAAACAGCCAAGATGCCTGCAATATATAATTAACTGATCCCAGAATAGATTCAGTAAGAATCAGCTTTACAGAATGTAAAACCAAGCTTCAGTCTCAAAGTAGATTGCAGATTTTCTAGGTCTTAATTAACTCTTTAGATACTGCATATAAATTATCTCAAATTTGAATTAAAACTTCCTATTACTTTTTATTAAATGCTTCTAGCAAACGGAGCAGGTGCAAAAACAGATTGATGATGTCCAAATAAAGATTGATTGCAGCCAGTATATATTCTTCCGGAGAGAGTTTGTGCATTAATAGATGAGTGTCGTAGATGATAAATCCACAGAACAGAAGCGCTCCTGCAGCAGCAAATACCAGTTCTACTACTTCATTATTGAAAAATAACTAGAAACAAGGAGCAGATAAATGCAGATTTAGTGTATTTTGAATATAAAAGCATATTAAAATTAAATCTATAATGGTATTATAATTTAAATTTTAAAAATGTTTTTAATGGAGAAGCTGAGCACAATTCATATTTTCTATATTATAGGTCATTCCTGTGACTTTAAGACTTCCCATGTTACTAGCAAAATAAGATCTTGTCATATCCTATGATTGTCAGTTGTTTCCTAAAGCAACAGATCTAACTTCAGTTCAAATTAGATAAATCTTTAAATTTCAATGCAACTGCATTTTCTCAATTTAATGTGTATGGGCATCACTTTGAATGAATAAAATCAATAAAATCAATCACATTGAGTTTTTTTTTTTAAAGGCTTCTCATGCTGCAATTCTTTTAAAGAATAGTTGGGTGTTTTCTAACTATAGTATTGCTAGCACAATAATCAATCTGAAAAATACTTTAATGAACTCTTCAAGAAAATGTATTAGACCACCTGGATTCTGCACTCTGAGGAAATCTAAAAGCTTTTCCTGCTCTTCTTTCAGAGATTTACAGTTATTATTAAACTATAACTTATTTGTCAGTATGTTTTGTGTCACCTTCATCTCTAACAAAATGCACTCCATCTATTTAAACTGTATTAGCATATAGTTGTTTTCCCATTTTACTGTGAACTATACCTTCAAAGTTACAGGGACATATGACAATCTCCCAGTTGCTGGGGCCATTTCCAGCATAACTTTTATATATTTATTCAATGAATCTTTTCGAGGGAAGTTTGTAGAGGACTGCAATCATATCCTCTGTTCATTAGACACAGACCTAGGAACAGCCATAAATGATTGTAAGTGGGTACCTGCACAGCAGATTATCAAACTGACTCGGGATTCATGAATGTATGGCTGAACTGCAGAATCTATGGCTAAAGAAAGATTTGCAGATCATGTTATCTGCTGATTATGATTCTCTATGCCTGGACTGGCCAGGTTCAAAATGAGGAAAGCTCCTTTATTTTAGCTATCAAAACCCAATAACCGAATATTAAAAGAAGGCCTCTGAGTGATAAATATTGGCATCTATCTGATTTATGTAGAATAATAATTATTTTTATGTAAAATTATTTAAATCAAGAAGTTATTTTTGAGAGTGTAATGTTGATTCTTCAAGTTTGTGGAGCAAAAACATTAAAAGATAAAAGTAGTTTAAATTTGATCTTAACAGTATGCATTTATTTAAAAACTCTTAAAACTAATTTCAACTTTAACCGAGTTTTCATTAATAAACTACATGCTCATAATCCCCCAATGCACATATATGACTTGCATTGAAAAGAACACAATTATCAGTTAAAAAACCCAAGATTTTAAAATTGGAGTTAGCTCCTAACAATTCAATTTATTTAAAATAGTTAGCATCCTATGGAGACCTCCAAAATTTTAATTATCTAAAATAAATATTCTCTTACCTTTAAAATGCTTGTCAGGAGAAGAATCCACAAGCAAGTAAAGAGCCTGAGAAGATACAGACATATCTTATTTGTAATATGCTTTTAACAGTTCTTTAAAAATGCAGACACACATAATTTCTATAATTATTAAGTACAAAATCACATATTGAAATAATTATCAGCCATTTCTCTTTTACTTATTCACAAAGTACACTTGTAAATCCCCTGCCTTAGTTTTTTTGCTGCAATCACAACATATCAACAAATCTTAAAAGAAGCCGTCATCACTGATTATTATTCCAGTAAGAAAGGGTCATTCAAAATACTGAAATGCCAATGTACGTAACAGAAACTAGCTTACCCCGCTCCAGCTCTACTGAAATCCCGTTTGGATTGCAATGTGTACACAGTAAGGGCTAAAAACACAGTTGTTGTCAGAATAAAGGCTTGTAACACAATTGATACTTCATAGAAAGTCACTAGCAAGAAAGGGAAAACAAAGAATTGTAATCAATATGAAGAATTTTTGATACAATCATCTTGTCTTAACTGGTTCATTTTTTTCATACATAAAAACCGTACTGTAATTCTAAAATCTGGTATAAAACAGGTATGTCAATAACAAATAATGAGGTGTATAAATTTTAAAGTACAAATTTTGTTCTATTAATATTTCATAACAGAAGCGAAGAGGGGAGGAGGGGGACACAACATAACACAGAGATGAATTCCTGATTTCTTTTTACCTAACAGAAATTAAATCTGGATTTAGTCATATGTTTTCTTATTTTAAGAAAATAAGTTTAAAGCAA